TTCGAAAGTTATCGTGTTAACGGCCGGACGGCCGGCCGGCCGGCCGGACATACGGACCGATTCTAGTAGTGTACTCACTTTTTGAGTACACTAAAAACACGGAAAGAAATCAAATTTTAATCAATTTTTTTGTGATTAAAAATCGATTAAAATGAGGCGATTTTAATCAGATTTCTTGATTTTTAATCAATTTTAATACTATTAACGAAAAAATGTGTTTTTCTCGAGTTTTATCCCAGAAATCATAGCTTTTTATTGGCTTTTCGGACTCCTCGCGTCGACAAATAGTAGGTACAACACCAAACCAACCTCGGACAGACATGCCTGCGTTCGCGCGATAAGAACGATCTGTGCTTACACATTCTTTGGTTATCGTGATTAAAAAGGATTAAAAATTAATTAATCAATTAAAATCCATTAAAACAAGAACAATCAATTATAATCGATGAAAACTGATTAAAGTCAAAAATAATCGATTAAAAGTCAAGAAATCTGATTAAAATCGATTAAAATTGGTTAAAAATCAAGAATTTGATTAAAATCATCTCATTTTAATCGATTTCTAATCACAAAAAAATCCATTAAAATCCCGTTTTTCTCGATTTTTTTTACGGGGGTTATAGACAAGCATCGAGATATTTTTACACTAGAATATTTGTTTATCTTCTAGGAGAAATCAAAATTTTTATTTTTCCTATAAGAGAATTTGAAATTTTCCTCAATTTCAGTCTCTTCTGCAACATATAGATGATGTCAATTTATGATTTCAATATGCAATGAATAACTTAATGAGCGAATAATACCTTCGCAGAGAACTATTATTTACTTTGAAGAAATACAATCAAAGAAATGTTCAACTATTGATGAAAAAAGGCAATACAATATGAAATGTTCTGCCATAACAATATAGAGAAACAGATGGGAAAAAACAAGAGGAATAGGAAAATAGAGGGAATAACGGGATAGCGGAATAATTAGGAAACAGAAGAATAGAGAAATAGTTGGAGAGGTGACACGACACTTGAGCCTGCGACAGTTGAGCTCCAACCGTTGAGCCTCCCGACACTGGAGCTCCAGACAGTTGAGCCCTCGACATTTAAGCCTCCCGACAGTTGAGCTTCCGACAGTAGAGCCCCACACTTGAGCCTTCCATATGTAGCTTTGATCAAAATCTATGATAAACTTTATATACATTGCTCAGTATGATAAAGAGTGAGCAGCAGCTACCGGTATTTATTTTTTGGGGTTTTAATAAATCCTCATACATTTTGAAATAAATCCCGCATAATTCCTGAGGACGAGAGCTTAGTGAGGGTGAGGGCGAAGGCTTACAGAGGTGAGGGGGAACGCTTACTGAGGGTGAGGCCGAAGACTTAATGAGGGTAAGCGCGGAGGCCAGGACAAGGATGAGAGCGTACTGAAATACTGATACAGCTAATAAGTCCCAATAAATTCTCAGTTAATAAATAAATCCTCTATAAAAAACTAAATCCCAAAAAAAAATAAATCCCGGTAGCCCCTCGATGAGGATGCAAATGCGGGTGTGGATGAGGGTGAGAGTACAGATGCAACTGAGGGTGAGTGCTGATAAGACGGAGTGGAAGAGGCTCAAAGGTCGGGGCTCTACTGTCGCAGGCTCAACTGTCGGTGTACCAGCTGGAGAATATAAGAATAGAAAATGAAGGAATAACGATCAACCGATCGGAATATGTTTTGAGGTGGTCCCTAACCGACATCGTTTAATGATGTTTTTATCGTTTCATTCCGATTCTTCTCTTTTCAGGCAATCCTCGCAGCGAACATTCAAATGCATAATATAAAAACGAGATAGAAATTAACCGATGAGCGTTGATTATATAAATATTGAGGCATATCGAACAAACACAAATGCATAACAGTTGTTATGCTTAGGTATCACATTTTGACACATTCAGATGAAAAGAAATATTATCGAACGAAAACAAAAATTGACGAAGCACGTAGAACCGTGAGTAAGATACTTCGAGTCTATGGTCTTTTTTATTTCAAACTGAATTCTAAAATCAAAAAAACCACACCAATTTCTTCCGAATCAAACTTTTCTCGCTTGAGACTACGTAGTCCCACTAAAAACCCTTAGTCCCCCCTAGTCCTGCAAAGTCCCCCTTAGTCCCCCCCACAAAAAGCTTAGTCTCCGCTTAGTCCCCTGTGCAGGGGACTAAAGCCTATAGTACACAAAACCACAACCACACCCTCACCCTCACTCGCGCGCCCACACCCGCACCATGGGTGTGGGTGTGTGTGTGGGTCCCAGACCAACACCCACACCCTCAGTCACTCCCCCCCCCTCACTCCTAGACTCATGTTTCAGTTTGAAATCAAGTATTATTTTTATTTGATAAATTCAGACTGAAATTAAATAGCCCATTGTATGGATACTTCATAAGTCGACATGAAGAAACAAACTGAGACAGAGAAAAACTGGCAAAAAAAAATGGAGAAGAGATGTAAAAGAACAATCATTCGCTACGCAACGTTACAACGGAGAAAGAAAACAAAACAACCGTCTCGATACTCGTCAGGAAAGAAAAAGAACGCCTCATAGTTGCGGAAAGAAAACCAATGTAAGTGGTAAAGCAAGAAAAAAAACAGAGAGGAGAATGGTTAGGACAGAAAAAAAAGTCGCTAATTGAGACTGTAAAGAATAAATATGAGAATGGGCAGAACATAAAAATAATAGAAAAATCTCGATAGAGTCTATTTCTAAGAACATTTATTAGAAGGAAAATGTTCTCTTTCTATGAAATTCAATAGAATACAGTTGAATCTCTTTTTTTTTGGGGGGGGGGGGGGGGGGGGGGAAAA